GAAGAGGTAAGAACCAACCTTCACCGATGAACTCTCGTTTTCATTGCTGTCATCGCTCTTGTGTTTCCTCCTCAGTGGATTTGCACAGTGAACAACATCTCCAGACAGATCTACCTGACCGACAACCCCGAGGTACGCCGTGCCGTCAGCGTACTCCAGCATGTTGTCCGCGGCGACAATTTGTCCGCGTTTTGGTCACTCCTCGGCGCTTCTGTTGCCGCCAGGCTGTGGCCATCCGATTGAACCAAACCGCCATCCAGGCCGTCACCCCTGTCACCAGCTTTGAAAAGAGGCAGGAAGGCGCACCCGACCCTGACAGGTCTGTTGAGGTTTACCCTGACACGTTTTCACGCCGCATACGACCAACCAAATTTTTGACTTTTGAGGCCTCTCATCGTGAAATCTTGGTCATCCGTTGCAGAGCCAAGCCGGGGGGCGTCTACTCCACCAGCACTGCATCCCAGAAGTCTGGAAGCGGCCCGGAGCCGGAAGACCTGATCGCGCCCGGGACGCCCATCCAGTTCGACATTGTACTGCCAGCCTCGGAATTCCAGGACCAGAACAGGGTGGACGGAAAGTAAGATAAGATAAGATGAGAAAACCTTTTTTGTCTCACAATGGAGAAATTTGCAAGCACGCGCTCTTTGGACAAACAAGGAGGATGCAGACTCATGTGCTGCCCGTTGGACTCTGATTGGCTTATGTCATTTCCAGGAGGGCGAGATGCCTCCTAATGTGTGCAGGGCTGTAATCACGATGTTTTTCACTTCCCGGCAGGCGCACTAATCCATTTGGCGAAATGGATGATGACTGTTCCCACGAAAGCGACGGTGAACATTTTTTTTGCTTTCATTTTCAAGAAATTGGAGTTCTTAGTGTGTGTGTGTGTGTGTGTAATTTTATTGAGTTAATTTTTTTGGGCACTACGCCTCATGTACCCGAACCTGCCTGAGTGTTTCTGTCCGGGGGGGGCGGTATGGGTGGGGCACGCAGACTCCCTCTTGCAGCAGGTGTTTGCCGTGCGCTTCCTGGGCTCCATGGCGGTGCGCTGCGGCGACAACCAGGAGGTGATCTACGAGGCCATGAGGCAGGTGCTCGCCGCCCGCGCCATCCACAACATCTTCAGGACCACCGAGTCGCACCTGATGGTGACCAGCAGCGACCTGAGGTAATGCGCGGCGCAGTCGCCACGATAAAATGACTTTGAGCCATTTCGATACATTTTATGAGGGGTTTTTTTTTTCTTCTTTTTTTGGTCACAAGAATGGTGGCAGTGTAATTTCCTCTTTCACACACTAGGTGGAGCCACAACGCTACACAACTCAACGGATGAGGAAAAGAAGTTATGCAGGCGTTCATTTAGTTGTATCATGTGAAAAAATAATAAATCGTGCTTTACTTCCATCAGAAAAAAATTTGAAGTGACAAATAAGGGGAGCGGCGGAAATATTCACAATATCTCTGAGAGTGAATAAATTAAATAAACCAAATGAATGCCAGCCACCCTATCATAAAGTTAAGCATTTCGAGAAACTTGCAAAAATACTCCCTAAAAGTTCCTTGTGATAAAAAAATAAGCATTTGTAACAATTTAAAGCTCTCAGAGATGTTTTATAAGAATTCAAGCAGTTTAAAAGGAAAAAATATTTTTCACTTTAAAAAGGATATAAAAGTACTTTATTCATATCCAAGTACCTGATGATAAAAATGCATTTTCGAGAATATGAAGCACTCCAAAAAAATTCAGATTGCAATTTAAAAGTTTGTAAAATACATAAATACCATTTTTTTAAAATTATGAGATACTTCACCATACAATAACAAAATAAGCATTTCCAATCGTTTAAATTACGCCAAAACGATTTTGATTTTGCTGTGATTTAAAGCCACCTTTGAATTTCTAGAGTTCAAAATGCATTCAAATGTCTTCACCGCAAAATTTTTGTGGAGCGCAAAACAGTCCAAGGCTCAAATTTCCTTTCTTTATGGTTGTTTGAACAGGCTGATCGACCCTCAGACTCAAGTCACAAGAATAAGCGTAAGTCAAGTGACGAGGCGGCGTTGCCGTCGCCTGTCGGGTGGCCGCGACATCACGCGTGGGTCCTTTCCAGTTCCGGCTGGGCGAGGTGTGTCAGTTTGCGGCCCACCAGGAGAACAGCAGGCTGATGGGATTGGTGGTGGAAGGCGGCGACTGGAGCGGCGGCGGCGGCGGGGATGACGACGAAGGGGGCGAGCCCTCGTTTAGCGCCTTCGTCTTTGAGAGCAACACGGAGGGAGAGAAGGTGCCGCTTTCTTGACTCCCGTTTGGACGTTGGTGGTAATAACATGTAGCTAAAATGTCCATTTTTGGGGGGGCATGACAGATATGCTACACCATGAGTTTGGCGAAGGATATCACAGAGGCAAAGAAGGTGAGTTTGCGACGACATGGCCCGATGACGATGTGGGGAAAAAAAAAAAAAAAAAAAAAAAAGCATGTTCCCTGGATGAATGGATGTTTTGATTATTTCATGTATTTCATAAATTTTAAAGGTTGTTTCACGAGCCAGTTACCACTCCATGTGGTCACACTTTCTGTAAAAACTGTATCGAGAGGAGCCTGGACCACAACCTCCGCTGTCCGCTCTGCAAGCAGCCGTTACAAGAGGTAACCAAAGTGTCCTGTATGTCGATACTTTATTATTTTATTTGACTTTATTTCTATTTATTGGACAGCACATCAGACCTAAACCTCCTTTTTCCTTCTTTGTTTATTTGCAGTACTTGAAGAATAGGAAGTACAATATCACAGTTGTGGTTCTGGATATCATGGCCTGCCTTTTCCCCTCACAGCTGGCCGAACGGAAACAAATACATGAGGCAGAGATGGCAGAACTGTCAAAGTAGGCGCCATGAAATGAAAACTCATACAATCTGTGTTCTGAATTGATGGCAAAGGCCATTGCAATTCCCACACCCCCTCCTCTTGTGATGTCATCATGTTATTTTTTTGCCCGTCTCTTTATCTGTCCTCTCCACTGCAGCCTCACTAAGGACATCCCTATATTTGTTTGCACTGTGGCCTACCCTGGGGTGCCGTGTCCTTTGCACATCTTCGAGCCTCGATACCGACTGATGATGCGTCGCTGTATGGAGACAGGAACGAAAAAGTTTGGCATTCTGTCTGCGTTGGCCGGGAATCGAACCCGGGTCAACTGCTTGGAAGGCAGCTATGCTCACCACTATACCACCAACGCCGCACAAAATCAATTGGAATTTCGGCAAACATTTCAGTGTTCGGCCCCCTCAAGTCAGCATGCATGTCGTGAGATGGAGGCATGATGAGTATTTTCTCCCTCATGCATCCACAGAAGCACTCAGCGCTGTGGAAGACATGTTCCCCTATTTTGAGCTTTGCACCACTTCCTTCGTTGCGTTGGTGGTATAGTGGTGAGCATAGCTGCCTTCCAAGCAGTTGACCCGGGTTCGATTCCCGGCCAACGCAGACCTTTGTTTGTCCGTTTACTTTTCAATTGCGTGACGTTATTGCCCTCAAAATAAAAGGCCCTTTTTCATTCTCTAGCATCAGAAGTAAGAAAAAAAAAGTCATCTTTTTTCTTTCTGGAATTCACCAACATATTTGAGAGTCAGGCTAGGTCAAGCACCCGCACGCACGCACACACACACACACACACAGACTGCACACACACGCGCACACACACACACACACACACTTGATTTTTCTGCAGTCGCCACGTCATAGTGAGGCGTGCCAAGTATTTTCTCCCTCATGCGGCCACATAAACACAGCGCTGTTGCAGACATGTTCTCCTCTTCCGAAATCTCCACTACTTCATTCAGTGCGTTGGTGGTATAGTGGTGAGCATAGCTGCCTTCCAAGCAGTTGACCCGGGTTCGATTCCCGGCCAACGCAGCCAGCTACTTCTTTTTTTTTTTTCCACCCTCTCTGTCTGAGGAATGAAAGCATGTCTTTTCTTGTCTTCCTTCCCATTCTAGAGAATGAAAAAGGGTATTTTTTTGGAGAGAGCAATAATGTCATCTCATTGAAAAGTGAATGATGAAACAATGCTCTGCGTTGGCCGGGAATCGAACCCGGGTCAACTGCTTGGAAGGCAGCTATGCTCACCACTATACCACCAACGCACTGAAGGAAATTGTGGAAAGCTCAAAACATGTCTGGAACAGCGCTGAGTGCTGATGTGGCCGCATGAGGGAGAAAATACTCGGCACGCCTCAGCATGACGTGGCGACTGCAGAATAACCAAGCTGAGCGGCACGTCGATGCAGACAATTTCACCACACATGCATGTTATGACTTGAGGGGGTGGAGGGTGTGTGTGTGTGTGTGTGTGTGTGTGTGTGTGTGTGTGTGCGTGTGCGCGCGTGTGTATGGTGGGGGGATTGACCTAGCGTGACTCTTAAATACTTTCCTGAAATCCAGATGTTTCCGTACAGCGTTGGTGGTATAGTGGTGAGCATAGCTGCCTTCCAAGCAGTTGACCCGGGTTCGATTCCCGGCCAACGCAGACTCTTACTTTTTTTTCCATCCCCTCTCTGTCTGAGGAATGAGAGAATGACATTTTTTTCCTTACTTTCGATTCCAGAGAATGAGAAAGAGTCTTTTATTTTCAGAGCAATAAAGTCATCTAATTAAAAAGTAGTGGAAATGAAAAGCATTGCGTTGGCCGGGAATCGAACCCGGGTCAACTGCTTGGAAGGCAGCTATGCTCACCACTATACCACCAACGCCGCATGGAAACAGCAGGAATGTGGCCAAAACTTGGCATGCCTGTGATATGAGGCTCATGACCAGAGAATCGAAAAAGCAAGAACCAAACTTTGTTTTCTGATCCTGGCTGTCAATAATGGGGAAACTCTGCTTTGAAAATTGCTGGCAGCGATTTGACTTATTTGTCTTTGAAAGCTCCGTTGTTCATAACTCGACCCGGGCCAAATCATTTCCAACAGCATGAGTGTCAAAGTCATAGTCAATGAAAATAAAATCAATGCAATTAAAATGGTAAAAACATTTTCGCTCACGCGATTAAAAACGAGAGCGCCCTTCAAAAACAAAACTGAAACCGACATTTGACGTGTCTAAAACTAGCTCGAATTATCGTGAAAATGTCTTTTGCTTTCGTCTTTGTCAATGACTTTCACCCTTGAACTTTCAGGGTTTCATTTCAACGTATCGTCGATATTTCGATATTATTATACGCCCGTAGACAACAAAGTTTTTGTCTCTCGCTTTGGACAAATACTCCATCTATCAAAAAAACTAAAACTAAGACTAAAACTCAGCATTTTGGAAAAAAAATAAACACCAGTAAAAATCTACAAATCCAATCCAACACCAAATTAAAACTAACTGAATGAAACAAAAAAAGCAAAAATTTTAAATGAGCAGACCGTCACATTTGATGTTGTCGGCAGGACCCCGCGGCTCTGGCCCAGCTGATGAAGAACATGCCGCTCACCAACGACGGCAAATTCCTACTCCTGGACGCCGAGAGCAGCGACACGGTCGACGGGGACGGACTGGAGGATTTGGAGTCGGAAGCCTAGTCCAAAGAAAGAACAAAAAACAACAACGGGGACTGGATTTCACCCCAAGGTGTTTTTCCACTGCTGGAACCGCAACATGGTACTATCCAGGTGTCACCTTCTCGTTCTCTTTTGATTTGTTAGGCATGAGCGTACACATCACCCCAATCGGCTTGGAGTCCCGTTTGGTAAAAAGCTCCATTGAGAATTTTGCTGTTTGAGTCAAAAGTTAAATACAACTAAATTGTTTACAAATATTTCGAAAACGTACACAGGAATGTAACATTCATTTTCAACATTTAATTTGCGTACCACTAGGGGGTGCCAGTATACAATTCCACAATTCTACAGGTTCATCAGAAATGGTAAAGCATTGGCGACTTGCACCAACTGCATTTGATTACGAGCAAGTCACACAAATGTTGACGGCTTTCTTTCAAACTGAAGTTTGAGTAAATGCAAATTTCATTCACTGTTGGACAAAAAAAAAAAATCTGTCAAGCTCAAGTTCCTATTAATATGCATAACAATATCTGACCACAGTCGAATAAAAATGCATTAGGCATCTACATATTTACTACTATACAAAATTGTAATTTGTTGACAAAAACTTGTGCAGTTGAGTAACGAAACACCTCCGCGGCGGCAATTCAAGACGCTAGCTTTTGGTTTTCTTTGGGGGCTCGTTTGCAGAAAAGAAGCTGGATTAGAGCCACCCGGTGTAAGGGAGACACATTGCACTCCTTCAGGATCAGCTCCTGACCACCCCTAGTGGTACAATGTTGGTATTGCACCCAAGCAGAACGCCTCATTAAGTCTTCATAGCATAACTTGATGTTGAGAGTCCTTTACATAGGTTTACATTCATTTTTTACTTCATACTTAGATTGTTTCATGCTTATGTGTGTACATTTTTACTACGGTGGTACCTTGACTGAGGAGTCGAATTCAGTCCAATTACTCCAAAAAAGAAAACATGTTTCCCCATTAAAACGAATTGAAATGCCATTAATGCATTCCATAAAATCAGAAGGAAATTTGAAAAAAAATGAATTGGTTTTATAAAAAGGAATTACCATATTTGTCGTGTGTTAAGGGGCGGGGTAAATGTGTGTTTGACTGTGCCACTCAATCAATGGCTGAAAGGCCATTGGTGACGGTGGCGCTCCTTGCCCACATGCCAGAGCATTATTATTACTATTATTATTGCGGCATTATTATTATTTTTTTTCCATTTCACACAGTGACTTGACTTGCATCTCAATGAAAAGAGTAGGAAACACATACACACACACACAAGACTTGAGATCAGGGTACCACTGTACTTTGAATTCTTCACTTATGTACATTTTGCACACTAAAAAAAAAGGGTTGAATCTGTGTTGTAAACATAAAATTTGAAGGCTACAGTTGCACTAATGAATGAATGAAAAGAAACATTCCATCCTTGCGTCGTTGGACACGGCCACAGTTAGCTTGCATGAGACAGCCGGGAAATGAAACATTTGGATTGTGATGTAACATCCCATTTCTTTGTTGCTTGTTTGATTTTGTAGAACTCTCTTCAACGCGATCTGTACGTCAGCTCCTGCCTGCTGTTGACAGATTAAAAAACAAATAAGATCCGTTGCCTTTGGAATGGCTGAATTTGTTAGGTTCCGTGTGATGCGAAACCCAGGATCGAGTTCCCGCAGATCCTTAAAAAGTCTGAAAAGGCATTGACTGCACGAAATCTCAAAATAAGGCCTTTGTCATTAAAAAAAGTCTCAAATCCATCTTTCAAAATGTTAAGACATGAGAGGAATCTCAACCCTTACTTTTTGTCAGATACAATCATCTGAAATTAAAGTAAGAAGGCTTCAACACAAATGTCTTTTATTTTAATTGATTTATTTGTTTTATTTTTACAAATATAGTGGTTTATGTGAACAAAATGCTTAAAACCGATGAGACACAGGATGACATAAGTCTGAGGCATGTTAATTACATCTGTTCCAGTCAATCCGTACATGTGCTACATTGTACATTCGCCTTAAAGGTGCTCAAGAATCTTTGTAGTAGTTGTTGAAGTTGATGCGCAGGAGGAAGTCTTCCAAATGAGGCTGGTAGCCTCGGTTCACCAGCTTGGTCACCACTGAACAACAACGACGACGACAAACATCAGGCAACGGTTCCGTGACGTCGAGCACGGAAGACGTAGGACGGAGCTCACCTTTGAAGAGGAAGTGCGAGTAGTATTTGAAGGTGTTGTACGACTGCTGCATGGCGATGAAGCTGGGGTGCACTGCCTCCCCCTGCTGGCTGGCCCAGGGCAGTGCAATCAGCTGAGCGCGGAACTTCAGGATGAGGCTGAAGATGCTGTGGATGATGTTCATCACCGGAGCGGCCTTCTCCGTCAGCAAAGCCCTGACAACCAATTCAAAAACAATCATATATGAGAGAGAGAGAGAGAGAGAGAGAGAGAGAGAACTGACTGCCTGTATTTTGTGGCACGTTGGGAACTATGTTGAAGTGAGTTGAGTCTGTGCTTTTGAGCCATCTTGAGGCATCCATTTGGGGGAGGGGCGTTCATCTTGAGGCATCTCTAGGCAATTACAAACCTTTTTTGGGGTTCATCTTGGCAGGCTCCGCCCCTCAACACTACCGTGCGAAGAAAGTAAGGCGACTGACCTGAAAATGGCCCTGTTGAGGTAGTCGGCGTGCGTGCGGTGGATGGCGTCGAGGTCGCAGGCGGCGGCCATCTTGGCGGTGAATTCGCTCCACGACACCTGCAGGATCTGGTTGGCGATGTAACCTTGGATGACCTTGACGAAGTGCTGCATCTCGTGTCGGTACAGCTGCAGCTGGCGGAACTGCACCGAGCGCCCGGCGCCTTTGACCACCGCTGACACACGCACAGTGGACATAGCACACAGTCTGACTATTCAGATTATTACCATCGAGAGCCCTCGCAGAGTCTACACATCCATCTGAACAGTTGAACTTTATCAGGGATCATCAGAGGCATGTGACACAAGTTTGAATGTAATTGGTTTCAGGCAGCCACATCCCCAGTTATAAGAGGGTGTACGCACTTGTGCAACCACATTGTCTCAGTTTTTTAGTTTTACTATCAGCCGAACGAGTGCGTCTCCTCACACTGCGTTATTTATTAGCTTGTAAAGGGAACAAGTGACAGCTAGCTCCTCTCTATTGCAATTTCTGCAAAGTTTTTTAAAAAAAAAAGTGAAAGTACGTTTCATGTCTTATTTGCTTCCAAGTCCCTGAAAAAAAAAAGCGTAGTGACATTTCATTTGGCCTCTGATGGTGTCTGACATTTCACTATGATTATTATTATTTCTTTTTTTTTTGTGGAGGGGGGGGGCAGCTGTTTCATTGTCAGAAATCAATGTTAATAGCGTTTTCTTACACATTTGTGCTGCGTTTGACCCTTTAACACATCGCTCTCCACATCCCCTGCGGGAACCGAGTGATAACAATCAATAACGAGCGTAACGCTATTTTCTATATGCGTTAAAGGACAAGCGTTGAGTGGTCTGAGCAGCGGCTCACTAATCAATAGCGGCGGATCCAATAAGTCCACACAAGGGTAATGGGAGGAAAAGAAAAAAAAAAGTTACTGGTCTACTGATCTCTGTGAATACAAAGTGGAACGGGGCCTTCCCAGAATGCAACGGGGCACTCACCCGTCCTCTTGAGGTGGAACCAGACGTCGCGCAGGCTCCACACCATGTGCTTGAGCTGCAGCTGGAAGGAGAACAGCCGGTTGTACTTGTTCATGCAGCTGTCGGTGATGATGATGTTGAGCGGCCAGGCCACCTGGGGGCGCCCACACACACAAGCACTTTGAGTTGGAACGTGCACCCAAGGGTGCCTCAACTCGTAAATCGGTTTCGTCACCACACTGGGAATTCCAAATAGCCGTGTCTCAAATCATCCTTCCCCATTGAAATGAATAGAATTGCCATTAATCTGTTGCAGCTGCCCCCCACCACCTCATAAAAAAATTAATAAAATGTATTTTTATCAGGAAAAACAACGCTACACTATTGCAATTCATTTAAAAAAAAAAAAAATAAAATGTATTTTAATCAGGAAAAACAACGCTACACTATTGCAATTTATAAAAAAAAAAAACAAGAGCACAATTTCATAGAATGTAAAAACTGAAATAGTTTTTGCATTTGAATTTCATGCTTTATCTAAATGGGCCTATTTCTGTCATGCACAACTTGGCCATCAGGGGGCACTATATAAAAACGTTCGAATGGCCACGTCTTTATTTGAAAACAGGAAAGTATTTCAACTTGGCAGTGCAGATGCACACGCAAACTACTTCCGATTCAATTCCTGGTTTGGACTCACATTTTTGAGAGCCGTTTTCCAAAGTAAAAGCAAAAGTTTTATTTCGATTCAACACAAAGACAATCAGTATGCTTCCATGGAGGACTGCAGAAATAGAAATTCCAAGCAATTGGACAATTATAAAAAAGTATTGAAAACAAAATAATCAAATAATACTAAATTAATTTGATAATTGATTAGCTGTCCAACAATCGATGTAACCGTTTTTTTGTCATACAGCTTTGAATCATGACTTTACTTCCATAAATGATAACTCTCTTTTATTGGGTAACATATATAATATTTCAATTTAATGATGAAGCACGAAGAAGACTGCAGCAATTTTAGTTATTTTCCATTGGAGGATAAAGAATATATGCCTGTGAGTATTCCTGTGGACTCTTGTCTGCAAGTGTTGCTGTATTGTTTGCATTCAAACATCAGTCGTTGGAAGGGTTTTTCTAACGACAACCCTATGACGCAGTACAAAGTAAAGCGCGATGTAGCAAGTGATAAATGTTTCTCCCCTAATGGTATCATTTGGGTTAGAGCGGCCGTGACGGTGAGCACGTGTCACCTTGTAGCGCAGCTCCAGGCAGTTGAGGGAGTCGGGGGCGTGGGGGTGGAAGGTGTCGGGCAGGAAGCGCAGAGCGAAGGTGAAGTTGGCGGCCAGCGGCGTATCGCCGTGCAGGCTGTACTGCAGCGCCTTGCTGAGGATGGAGTTGAGCACCAGCGGGGTGAGCAGCTCGCCGGGGGTCTGCCCGCTGCCCATCTGTGGGGACGCCGCACCAAGCGTTTACTCAACAGCACTTTTAAACGTGCTGAGCACACGACATCGTTTTCCAAGCGCTTTGGACGGCTGTGGAAAATCACGTCTGATTTATTGATTGTACAAATATGTCAATGTAGGGATTGTCCAAATATGTCCAGTTTTCTGCATCGGCATCAGCCAGTCATTCTTCAGGTGTGGCAGCTTTTTGAGCTGACGCGAGCTCGTCCGCAGTCCGAGCAAGGCCTCACCTTTTCAAACAGCCGATCGCTGAGCGACTGCGCAAACTCGCCGTCGTCCATCAGCAGGAAGTGGCGCAGCGCTTCAAAGTGGCGCTCCACCCCCAACTCTACAAAGAAGTAGTCCACCACCGCCTTGTTCACCAGCGACACGCTGCAGGCGGAGCAAAGGCGAAGACATGACTTGAAATGAAGGTCACAAAACTTTGACATCAGGAGGAGAGGGGGGAAAAAAAAAAAGGATTGCGTTGGCCGGGAATCGAACCCGGGTCAACTGCTTGGAAGGCAGCTATGCTCACCACTATACCACCAACGCTGTGCAGGAACAGATGTGGAATGTTTGGGAGAAGGAAAGGCTGCAGCATTCCACCGTGAGGAAGGGGGGGCAGGGAAGCGGTTTGCTTTTCTTGCTGGGCCATGTGACGGAGCAGCAGCGGAATAAACCCCCAATTTGGAAGTCAAGTAAACACAGTTCAAAGCTCACATTTTGCTCTTTCTTTGGCTTTTTTTTTTTGTATGAGGTAAGCAGCAAAAGAAGAAAAATGCGAAGAGAAGAGGAGAAGGAAAGAGGAAAATGGAACTCAGTGGTGACATAAGAATGAGTGTGTTTGCTCTTACTACTAAGGAACTATTTTGAAGTGAGCTTGGGAGCTTTATTTAGACAAAAGTAGCACTTTTGTCCCCAACTTGTGGCATCTTGGTGCCGAGGAACTCAGTTGAAGTGAGCTGACCAAAGCGGTGCTTTGCCACATCTTAAGCCAAAGAATCATGTTGAAACGAACTGACGAGCTTCATTTACTTACTGGTAGTGCTTTACAGTCATTTTGGTGCCAAGGAACCACGTCGAAGTGAGTTGAGGAGCTTTATTTACAAAACCTTGGTATGAAGGAACTGTGTTAAAGTGCGTAAAGGAGCTTCACTTGGACAAAATTAGTGTTCTGCCGCAATCTTGTGGCACGATGGGCCAAGGAACTATGTTGAGGTGAATCGAAAAGCTTCATTTACACACACACACACACACACACACACACACACACACACACACACACACACACACACACAAATAGTGCTTGGCCGCCATCTGGGGCATCTAGATGTCAACAAAACTACAGCAGAGTGAATTGAGGAGCTTCATTCAAAAAAAAAAAAAAAAGTAGCAACATCCAAAGTATGTATAGGCGATGCTTCAAACTTTTTTTTCGGGGTAGATCAAATACTTGGTCCCACGAATGATGAGAACAGTTCTTGGATTGGATCTCTTTCTAAAATGTGCCGATGTTTGTTGTGAAAAATGACAAAAAGTTGACATGACATGTTTTTGGCTACTCACTGCGTGATGAGCGGGGTGGTGACCGAGTGTTTGATCAGAACCGGCAGGGAGACCATCTCGCTGAGCTGCGGCGAGGTGGCGTCGGCGGCGTGCCGGAGGGCGGGCAGGCCCCGGGCGACGTGCTTGAGCAGCTGACACTCGGGGGACGACGCTGTGACAAAAGAGGACGGTAAAAAGGAAGCGGAACGACTAACATCGGCTCGGCCTTCCAATTTGACGTCATGAACTTCATACGTCCAAACGAATCTTTTTCCCGCGCACACAAGCGCGTGCATGACTGACCCATGAGGCTGTAGCAGTCCTCGTAGTGCTCCACCTGGTACTGAGCGGACAAGGCCAGGAGGTATTCTCGTTCAGGCTTCTCTCCGGGGGACAAGTCAAACCCGGCGCTCCCCACCTGCTGCTCGTGCGTCTCCGACTCTCCAGCTGTTGACAGTACGCAGACGTTTGAGGAGTTATTTGACATTAGGCCACACCGGCTTGCTGACAGTGTGTTACAAATCTTCCGATTTTATTCATTCATTCATTTTCCGATCCACTTAATCCTCACGAGGGACGCGGGGGGGTGCTGGAGCCTACCCCAGTTGTCTTCGGGCAGTAGGCGGGGGACACCCTGAACCGGTTGCCAGCCAATCGCAGGGCATGCAGAGATGAACCTTCCGCACTCACACTCACACCAAGGGACAATTTGGAGTCTTCAATCAGCCTGCCATGCATTGTTTTGAAATGTGGGAGGAAACCGGAGTACCCGGAGAAAACCCGCGCAGGCCCGGGGAGAAAACGCAAACTCCACACAGGGAGGCCGTAGCCGGGATTGAACCCACGACCTCTGCACTGTGAGGTCGATGTGCTAACCACTCAATCACCGGGCCGCCCCCTATTTTCTTTCTTTTTTTTTTATCTTCCGTGGAACGTAACCTGCCATCGAGCGGAAGCGCATTCAATTGTTCTGCGTGTCACTATATGTCGAATAAAAGACATCGATCGCTTTCGGACAAATGAGGTGAAATGGGATCATTTCCCGAGTTGCCGCTGATGTTCTCTCGCGGCACCCTGGTTGGGAATCACGGGTTCAAATGAAGCTACGCAATTCACTTCAATGTTGTTCCTTGGCTCGGAGAGGCCCACGAGGTGAGCGGCAGCAATAGAAAATGGGTGAATCTGCAAGTCATGAATTTACGGGGGGGAACGCTCGCTTGAAGTGAGAGGCAAGCTTTGTACATTGCGAGGATGTGAGTTTAGCCTGGGTTGTTGTTGAGAGCCTTTGCCACAAGTGCACGGAAACATGCACCGCGCGTACGTTGCATCAAAATCAGGCCATCTGTAAGCCGTTTAGTTTTCGAGGAAATGTTGTGAGATGCGCTTGAACATTTCTGGAACCAGAATTTGTGTTCGATTTACTGGATGTCAAAAGCATTTGTACTCATTTCTGCAACGGGTTTCATTTCAATACCTTTGACGTCTTTGCTGTGATCCACTTTCGCGTCCGCCTCCGATCGGGCTCCTGGCAAAGAATGTGACGGGTTCCCCCGTTCTCCTCCCGGCGCGGAGGCTGGTGGCGCAGCGCCCACCACCACGCAGCCCACACCCAGAGCAGAATCGGAGGCGTGTCCGTATTGACTGCCCGACGGCGGGGAGGGAAGCGGGTTGCTCGGGGTGACAACGCAACCGCCGCCCAAGCTGGAGTCCGAGACGTGTCCTCGGGCGCTTGCGGGCGACGGCGCGGAGACGGGCGGCGAGCCGGACACCACGCAGCCGACCTGAAGGGTGGAGTCGGAGGCGTGGCCGTGCTTACTCCATCGGGGTCTGGCTTCAGACACGTCGGAGACAAACTCGCCCACTTTGATGTTGGCGTCGGAGGCGTGGCCGTGGAGGTTTCGCGCGGGCAGCGGCGAGAAGAATTCCGAAACGTTCCCTCCGACTTTGATGTTGGCATCGGAGGCGTGGCCGTGGAGATTTCGCGCGGGAAGCGAATCGACAAAGTCGGACACGTTTTCTCCTACTTTGATGTTGGCGTCAGAGGCGTGGCCGTGGAGATTTCGCGCGGGGAGCGGCGAGAAGAATTCCGAAACGTTTCCCCCGACTTTGATGTTGGCGTCGGAGGCGTGGCCATGGAGGTTTCGCGCGGGAAGCGAATCGACAAAGTCGGACACGTTTTCTCCTACTTTGATGTTGGCATCGGAGGCGTTGCCGTGGACATTGGGGGAAGGTTGAGGCGCTTTGACGTCGGAGACATGCTTGCCGATCTCGATGTGCGAATATGAGGGATGCGCCGTCGGCGAGCGTGAGGAACGAGGGGAGTTCAGGTTCGAAGGCGCCTCGACAGCACAAACCGTATTCCGATTAGAAAGACCGGCGAGTTTTTCTGCCGGTAAAGCATGAGCGCCGTCTTCGCCTTTGACTGCCGCGCCCTCTTGCGGTTCCGCGACTTTGTCTTGCTCCACGAGCGCAGAAGCGTCGCCTTGCCCGAGCAGCGTCGCATCCTGAATAGGCAGCCCGTTCGTTCGGGATACATTCGGAGGCTCCTCCGGGGCGCCGGGTCCGAGGGACAAGTTGGACGTGGAAACGCGACCGTGGATCAGAAGCACGTTCTCGCCCGCGGGGAAGCGGAAGATGGAGGAGCGCTCGTGGAGCACGTCGGGCTGCAGCGCGGCGGAGCCGCAAGCGGGCCGGAGCCGGGCCAGAGATTTGCGGCCGGCGATTCCTTCCAGCGGACTGAAGGGGGCGCTGAAGTCGTAGTCGAGAAGCTGCGCGGTGGGACACGCCTCAGGGATGTCCGCTCCCATCTCGTCCTGCTTGGCGTCGTCGGGGTTTGACGACTCGGGGAGAAAGTCGCCAGAGATGAAGGCGGCAGCGTCCGCCGTCTGAGACTCTTCCGCTTCTTCGGGCTTCTCCGGTTTTGTTTCCACCAGGGGCTCTGAGGGAATTTCCTGTCAAGAGAAAATACATTTGATTTGGAAGGAGATGCCATTTTGGGCACATGCCAAGTGTTTTCGTGCTCTCGAGTTCGTTGGACTTTGTATGCTGTTTTGATTCTATATGAGTCATATCTTCAAAATGATCCGTCCAGGCAGCGAGCGCCAGGCTTCTTATCGGGACTATATTACGATTGAAAAAAAAAGTATTCATAATAATGGTTATAATAACCGAATATTTAGAGCATAAACGTGTCTCTCCAAAAGTGAAACTGAATCTTGATTCACATCACAGAGGGGAATATTTCACAATTTTATTTTCAAACATTTTGCTGGTTGTGGTTTCCCAACTAAAATTCACAATCAAACAATTACGCCGGAATGTGTTTGATGAATTTATGTCCCGATAAAAGCAGCCTCACTTTTTGAATTGAAGTCCTGAAATTGATCCACTTTTCTACAACATTGTAATTTAATATCATGCGCCTGCATGTTTTTTTTGTTTTCATGTTTCGCACAAAGAAATAAGGATGACGAATAAACAGCAGAATTAGCTGGGGAATGCAACATTATCTTTTGACTGATTCTACAGCTTTACGGATGCCACGGGTGCTTTTTAGCCTATTATGGCGCACCTGAATGGGATGTGGTGGCACCCTGTTGCCAGTTGAACAAAGCCCGTTTTGGCGCCGCTATTTTTTTCTTCCCTTGAAGGTGCATTAATGTGGATAAAGACAGAAAATATTATCATACCAGTAATGAGGGGTGATGATGTGGTGAAGCTGGACGTCCCACCTGGCCCAAAGGATGCTTCTCCAGTATGGCCTAATCGGAAGTCACATGACATTCAGTCGCTAACGCGCGCTTGCGCACGCCACTTAACAGGCCTGGCACAACGCACCCGCAACTCTCGCCGGTCATTCGCAAAGAAGTGAGATCGAGCCTCGTCGAGTCTCGTTCTCTGCGCCCTCCACAAGGCCCGCCGCTCCTTGCGAGCCGCCTCTTCGGACAGGTGGCTGTACTGGGCGATCAGCTCCTTCCTACGGTCCGAGTCACATGCACACGGCGCGCTCGCTTTCAGTTGGAAATAACAATCGACGGGAGATTCCCGAATGAATTATCGATCGGATGCCAATCAGTTATCAATCAGCCGCCAGACACCTGGCTCTCTGCTCCAGTTGCTCCTCCAGCGCTTGAAGCCTCTTCTCCCGGTCCCGCAGTTCTCTGGCAAAGCTGAAGTCGTCTTCCTCTTGCTTCTTTTTGGCCGAGCTGCGCCACTGCGACAGTAAGAGCGCATCGTACGGTAAGTCACGTACTGTGCAGTACTCGATATTGAAAAAAAAAAGAAAAATGATTTCAAGATGTCACTGTTGATCAATAAATAAATAAAAGCATGACGGACTTGACTGAACTGTTGGGAGGGTCACCTAGACGGGGGGTCGGCAACCCTTTTTTGGACACATTTGAACTTCCAGTAATCTCAAATAAATACAACCCACTTCTTAAGTTGTGAGAAAAACAGCAGACAATTCTTTGACAATAAAAATGAAACAAAAGTTGAACATCACCCTCTTTTTGTTTGTCAATGTAATGAAAAGTAAATGAACATTTGTCACATCATGTTTCAAAATTGCTGAAGATATTGCACATTTTTTTTCATGCTTTTTCAAAAACCACACTAATAATTTTTGTTTGTCACCAGCAAAAGCAAGCAGAGATTTGGACTGTTTTTGGTTTTTCTGATGACCTCCAGTATTGGAGGTGGTTTGGTTTGAACATGTTGCGTAACATTCCAATTGGCCCTCCTCCTCTTTTCTTTTCTTTTTTTTTCTGTTTCTGACCCTCAGTGGAAGAAGTGTGGACACCGCCGGTCTTTATGTTTTTGCAAGCAATTCTAAATCTTTTTTTCAAAAGAGAGGATACCTCCTGCTCCTGTTCCAGGTGCTGCTTGAGCTCCCGGAAGCGCTCCCTCTTCCTGGCCTCCTCAGCCAGACGCTGCGACACCTGGCGCCCTGCAGGAGACGACGAGGGGGAGAGCGCCGTGAGCCGCTTAAAGCCCCCCGACCCCCACCCCGACGCCAAAAATGTGTGCTAAGTGTCTCGCGCGCGCGCACATCAAAAGGCATTGCCATCTGCCTCGAAACAAACGCCGATACATGATGGCGCCAAGGCACGTAAAAAGGAAACGGGGCCAGCCAACTTTGCCTGGCATCTTCTCAGGTGCGGAAAAGACGCGGGGAGTTTGTTTAAAAAAAAAAAAAAAAAATGTGTTTGCGTGGTGATTGGGCTTCAGGGCTGGAAGCCTATTCAAAACCAGTCCTCGGCGCAATTAGCCTCGCACACACGGCGAACGTCGGTTCCGACACAGAGCGCAGCGATTTGGATGGAGGTTCAATCAACGCGGGCAAGAGGATGAGGCTGCATATCAGACACCACATGGCATTCGACATGCTGTGTGTGTTTGTGTTTGTGCAACACTAACCACGAATGCTCTCCAAGGTTTTGGCTGCCGACGCTCTGACCTGATTGATCAGCTCCTGGCGCGCCTCCTCCGCTCGCTGGGCCTACAAGGACAAACAGCAATCACGACAAAACGAGATGCCTTTGCCGGCACCCCCCTTGCGCCAGGGTGTCCAACTCGACAAAACACGGGAAGCCTTGGAGAGAAACGAGTACAACCTTAAAATGCAATTTGGAAAATGAGGCAGAGAAAGTCACCCTTTGCTTCAGTTCCCAGCAAAAAAAAAAAAAAAAAAGGGAAAAGTACCCTCAAAATTATAAAGTTACTCCACAAATGAAGTTGTTGATGAGCAAAAACGCTCCTCAAGGAAAAGAAAAAAGTTTATTCCGAGCCTTGAAAGAAAAACTTTTTAACCCTGAACGACCTCGAGCTTCCCACTGCATCCATCCAAGCCACGAGCGACATTTCCAAATGCCGACTTGTCTGCGTCTGAATACCTGCACCTCCCGGCTGACTGCACTGTGCTTGGCGATCCTCTCCATGCGGCCCCGGTACATGGCGCAGTCCCTCTCGATGCCCTCCACCTCCTGCAGGGAGAAGGTGACGGCGATCCGTGGCACGGGAAGCTCCGACAAGCAGATGTAGTGCTGCAGGGGGGGAGGACACGGGAACAGACACCTTATTATCCGCGACATATTGCAACAGTTCCTCTCTTCATTCCACATATTGTTTAATTCTATAATCCTTCACCGCGGGATTTCGTTTTAATAACATTCCCTGTCATGTGAATTATGCACGCGAGTGAGTAAAGCCCAATTTCATTTCGCGCGGCGAACGGCGCCGCGCTTGGAGTTTGCAATGGTACACAACTGCACTGCATCATACAGAGAGCTAATTCGAATACAGCGATGATTTCAGCGAATATTTGTTCCCTGACCAGCGCCATAACTAAAACCAGTCTCATCTAAAATCACCTTTGCCCAGTCATTATATCGAAGTGCCCATTAAAACCTTCCGCGCCCACGGTGCACTCCTTCTGATGCGCTTACTTTGGCCACCAGGTGGCAGTATAATACAGACCTACACAACAACCGTTTCTCAACTGACTCAGAAAGCTGTTAAACAGTCGTTAAATTAAAACAGAAGATAACGAATATATGCCTGTGACATATGGTGTCAATCTACACGGGTTTCATTTGGGTTCTTTTTTTTTTTTTTTTATCACAACAGACACGATGATACCTTTCTATGGCGTTTTGGTTTGTGTTAGCATTAAGCTAGCAGAATCTCCTGAGGCAAAGTGATGGTATCACCCCCCCCACAAAAAAAACAAACTCATGAGCTGGGTAACTTCCCCAATTTTGGGTTAAGCACTAAGCTATTCATTGAAAAAAGACCTAAACTCCCAAACAAATCTGCTCTGAAAATGGTTGATTCCAAAACTCCTGAGGATTAGACTTGTTGAATACTTCCGATACAAAACGTATGGTGTGGTTTGACCCCAAATGAGGCCATGAACTCCGTGATAGTGATGTGAAACAGAACGATCACCGATGCGGAAGCGACCTGAAATATGTGCTGCTGATGGACATAAATAGAAACAACTGACTGTGTTTGGAGGAGTTGACTCATGATTTCTGCGGCGAAGATGTTACAAATTTAGGTAGCAACCTGAGCCAGCCAAAAATATTGTAGCGCACACGCTCAATTCAAACGAAGACCATGAAAACGAAGGAATACATGCCCGTCTGAGTGTTGTTTCAAACTGAAAACAATATCATCAACATGAAATTAAAAATATCTCATGTAGAGGAGCTCTGCAAGTGTACCTAATGTTATGGTCACTGACTGAGCAAGTCGCATGATTCCGCCCATGGGATGGGGAAAAAAGTGTCCTGAGACAAAAAGCAGAGCAGTGTGTGCTGCAATCCGTCACACTCAAGTCTCAGCACGTCCAGACGATGTATCATCACAGGGATGTTCACGTATTGATAAGGATTTGAACGAGACAGTGAGTGTCCCTGCTCTGTCTCAATATTGATTTGTCGTTCCTTGCAGGCGGCGTCCTTTGTTTTTTTTTTTTTTTCTTCTTCTAAATGGATGACAGCGACGTGAACAGCAGATATAATAATGCAACGGGCTTTGAAATATAACAAGGACAAGAAATACGGTCGGGGTGAGGACATGTTTATGCTCAACGTCATAAAACACAGTGGAACCTCTGAAGAGGTCATATATTTTGCAATTTGATGGGATATGTTCATGAAAAATAGGCCTCCAAAGTTCCGCACCGTGAGCAAATAGAACATTAAATATCATGTTGGGTTAGTATTGTTTTTTTTTTTGTTTGTTTGTTTCGTTCCAGTGAGAGCAAAAAGGTAAATTCAGATGATAACCATAGAACAGGAAATGATGCCTCTGCCGTGTAGAAAAGTCGACGTGTACGTACCTTGGCAGAATTTGTACAAAGACAGATGTGCAGTGACCAGGCAAAACACAAATTATTTTTAATTTTTTCAGAATTAATGCTATACAGCAGGGGTGTCAAACTCATTTTTTGTCGTGGGCCATTTCGGAGTTATGGCTTCCCTTGGAGGGCCGTTGCAAAATCTCACCGTTGGAGATCAAGTTGAAATTGTTATTTGTCAACATTACGATTGAGAGGAATGTGTTCTTGAAAATGTACCCAGACTTGATGGACACTGCAGATGCGGTGTGGCCACGCGCGTGTGTGTGTGGCATTGTGCAACATTTGCGCACGTGACGGTTCTCTAGTGATGTGTTTTTATGAACATGGAAGGCAGCTATTTTATTTTGAAAATTGTTCTGAAAGTTATGACATGTACATGAAAAATAAGTTGATTTACTGAGCATATTAACGCTGCAAATGGCCGTCACATATGTAAGGGATGCCTTTAATCAGCGTATGCGAAATGGCATCATGGCAAGAGTTCCGACAATATCCAACACGCGTGGTGAATTGGAAGACGAGCGGGAAAAGAACGAGGCCAACCTGAGGGCAGCATATTTTCAGGAGGTTGATGGTCTTCCCGCAGACGTACACGTCGTTGGCGATGTGCCTGAGGAAAATGGGCACGCACTCCTCCACGTCTTTCGAGATCAAAGTGTATCCATGGACCCAGAAGTGTTTGTCTGCAGAGAAAAAAAAAAAAAAAAAAGATAACATACATCATGTGAATTCCGATGGCCAAATGGGAAGCCCGCTGGCAGTTGAAGCCGTTGGTCAAGCAAGCGTTCACTCAATTGACCAGAGTGTTTGTAAACGTTTTATTGCCGGGAAGCCATTTTACACAACGCAGGAGCGGTATTCATTTTTTATTTACCGAGAGTGAGTGTTAACACGTATTTGACCATATGCGATCACGGTATTTTCCGGATTTTAAGTCGCTCCGGAATATAGATCGCACCAGCCATAAAATACAGTACATAAGAGAGAAGAAAAAAACAAATATAAGTCGCATTTTTGGGGAAATTCATTTGATAAAATCCAACACCAAGAACAGACATGTCATCTGGAAAGGCAATTGAAAATAAAATAGAGAACAACCGGCTGACTAAGTGTACGGCATGCTAATGTTACATGACGTATAAACAACGAATGGATAACGTGCCTGGTATGTTCACGTAACATATTAAGAATTCAAGAACAGGCTAACAAGTTTACTAAATCATCAGTATCACTCTAAAACTCAAAATCCAATGAAATCTTCATCCTCTGTGTCAGTTTGAAACAAGTCCGCCAACCCCGGAGGCAGAAGATGCGGCACTTCCTCTTCTTTGTCGCTTACGTTGGACTCATCATTGACTTAGCAACACAGGCCTAGAGCGACCTCTTGTGGGTTAATATCAAAATAACATGTGAAATGACATCATATTTTACGAATTTCACAGACAAGCTGCACCCCCGGCCAAACTATGGAGAAAAAAAAAAAAAGTGACTTATAGTCCGGAAAATACGGTAGCTGGCAACCACTCTGGGGTGTCCCATGCCTCTTGTCTAAGGTCAGCTGGGATGGGTGTTGACCGGAGTTCACCCGCCACCCAAATATGGATAAGCACCGTTGAAAATGGACGGATGAAGAATGAATAAAATAAGCTACACAGTATTCTTCTTAACACTGAGCCCATTAGAACGTCTGACTTGTATTATTACCGAGACTCGTGTTTGGAAACGGTTGAGCTCAGTTCGTCCTGGGCCAAATGAACGGCAGCATGTGAAGGCGTTGGGCTTCTGGAGCATTTTACAGCCAAGAGAGCTTAGTCCATTGCTGACTGCTCCCCCCACAGCACCCCTCCCCCCTCCCGACAACTTCCGAGGGCGCCCTCCAGACAAGCTGGAGCGCGCGGGGTTCAAGTGCGGAGAGTTGATGAGGTGGAGCCGACGAGCAAATTAACCTCTTAGCCAGACAAAGCAGCCGCCGTGGCGTGACCTTGAATGGAGCGCTGCGTGACAAACTACATTTTGGCCAGGCAACGGTGAGCAGCATGCATTCGGCGAGTTTTATGGATTACTGTTCAAACACAATAATTGCAGTGAGCCGGAACTGTCACCTCTGCAGGCTCACAAACAATAAAGATGAACGCAATACAATTAAGAAATGCAGGACTTCATATTAGGTAAGAACACAGTGAACAAACAACCTTCAGTTAACTCGAAATGCATTAAAGGGGGACATAGTCTGGAAAATGTATTTGGTCCCGTTTACAAACATTTGGCCCGCCTATCAAGCGGAAAATCGAATAACCGAGTAAAATCATTATCTGCCTATTGCACTTTGATGAAACGGGATAAACGAGCCGTCAGTGGTGGCTTTGCGCAAGGTAAGCAGAGCTGCATTGAGTTTGTCGTGTGGTCCGCATTTTAACCAGAAGAGCGAGAGCACATGTGGGAAAAGGTCGACACAATTGTTGCGAGCAAAAAAGACCAACAAAACACGGCTGGGTTTTTTGTTTGACTCATGCTTGGGCTTACTGACGATTACTGTCCAATAACGTGATGCAATCCTTCACGGACACAAGGACAAATCCGGTAGGGCAATAAAAGAAACGTAATGAAATCATTTTTCTTCCGCGGAAGAATACATCTCGAAGGATTTATCGGTTTGAGACGCGGCTTTCGAATAAAATGAAAGCGAGAGAATAATCAGAGGGTGTGCGTGTCTGTGTGTGACCTCGTGCTTTTTGCTATCCATTATTTGGGTAATAGATTAGTCTTCGATTTGACAAGTCATTGATTAGCCGGATAATATGAAAGCAACAGCAGCCGTATGACCTCCAAAAATGGGACTAATTGTTTCCTTTCACTTTTGCAAAAACACACATGAAAAGAAAAAAAAAAGACTGCAAACATCTTTACATCATTTGCATATTAAAGGGGACGAAACACTGAGATTATGGTAAATCGACTTGGGCCTCTGAAATGCTTTCAAGCCAGACTTCATTGTCTGAAACACTTTTGTGACGGAATCACGAAGGGCCGACAAAAGGTGCGGCATTCCTGCTATCATATCAAAGGCAAATGTAAGTGGTAAGCAGAGCTCCACTGCAGTTTTCTTGGATGCGGTGATTAGCCTTAGCTACGGTGTTAGCTTCCGCTAGCGGTAATCGCGTGATTGCTTGATCTAGTTGCCGATGCGGTGGTGGTAAAAGGCGTACCTAAAAGCCTTCCATTTTCTTAAAAGCTCACAGCGCGCCTTAAAATTCGATGCGCCTTGTGTACGGTCATGACGGTAATATTTCGACCCCAAAATGGCTCCTTGCTCGAGACATGCTTACAACGCAGAGTTCAAACTTAATGACAACGCAGAGTTCAAACTTAAGGCGATCGGTTACGCAATTGAACACGGATATCGAGCAGCGGCAAGCGAGTTCAACGCTCACGAGTCAATGTTATAACTTGCTGTTGGTTAAGTGAACTGTGTCGCTGCTTTAAGTTTTACTGACATCTGATCGTTCAGTTGGCATTTCCTTGAGCGTAGCTCCATCTAGTGGATGCATTGTAGATTGTGTCTTATAATGTGATGCGTCCAATGTATAAAAAAAAAAGACAAAATAGGCCATTCATTGAAGGCGCGCCTCATAATCCAGTGCGCCTTTTAGTGTGGAAAATACGCTACTTCAACTTTGGAACTGTTTTAAATGTAATTTAAAAAAGAAACCAAAATACCTCTGAAGCTGAGGTACTCTTCGTTGACTTGGATCATGAACTCGCCATAAACGTCTCGAAACACGCCACTGTACACCCAATCGGACACGAACCTGATTCAAGAGAGAACAGACGATCGAGACAGGCAGGTGGCAGGTTTTTTTTTTCTTTTTTTTTGTTTTTTCAGAGACGCGACGGCGGCGTGCGCTGCCGACCTGGTGTAGGGCTCGCAGCTGCTTTTGAGGAGGGAGAGCAGCACCGGGTAGTTCTCGTTGCTGCAGTTGTTCTGGGCTTCGTTGTACAGGTGGGAGAGCAGCTTCACGCCCTGAAAGCAACGCCGAGCGGCTTTGAGCCTTCTGAAAGTCGAACACGAGAGCTCGACGGCGCGTTGTGCGGATGAAAAGCAATTTACCACGGGGAAGGCGGCCCGGTCGCCACCCAGAGGCCCGTCCACACGGCACAGTTCTGACAGATACCTGAGATGAAAGCGGAGCGGCTCATTGGCATCAAGGCCTTGGTTCTCCTTTCATCTAATTGCTAAAGGCTTGAAAATTAAAGGCAGACCTTGGTCTTACCCGATTAAAAAAAAACTTCACCTGAGTTGTTGGCCGACCTTGCGGAAGAGGAAGCCAATGGTCAGTAGGCTGAGTCTGGGAGGCGTGCTGAGAACACATGCTCTGTAGTAATGCAAGTACTTCCTCAGACCTCCCGTGAAAGCCTTCGAGAGACACAGACATGGCGTCGTATGACATTTAATAACGTCCTGAACCGAAAACAAGGTTACAACGGTCCTGTTTCGAAGGTATTAACGGTGCGCTAATGAACGACTTTGAACACGCAGCCGCACAAGATGGCCCCGCACCGACAACACTCAACTTCCTGTTTTTATTGTTTTCTGTTGACGGCCTAAAAGTGGTCTTCATCGGTTCGCGTTCCAACTTATATTTGACTTTTGCATTTCTTTTTTTCTGTATTTAAAGCCCTGTTAGTTTTTAAACTTAACGTCCGATTTTTGATTTAACCTTCACGTGCAACACATTTTCATGAAACGATTATAAAACTTTTACCCCGAAATACAAGCGCAGTGTTCATGGCCAAACGCTACGTTGATTCTAATAATCATTTCTCTCATTTCTCTCATTTGTGATAAACATTTGCCGCTATTGCACGACTGTATTTTCATGTTGGTCAAGACGGTGGTACCTGGAGATCGACATCGTATTATTAGGCGGTACGCCGAATAAAAAGTCTGACGACTACTGACCTGGAACGACACATTTTAAGTTCTGCCATGTTTCAACTCGGGTGAGTGGAATGACGTCAAAACAACATCAACAAAACGGTACTAATCGGAAAAGGTTGTATTTGCATATTTTAGTAGGGATGACTGAGAACGCGTATGTAAAGACATGTCTGTAATTCTTGACGACTAATCACAAATGACATCGGCCGACCTTTTTTCCGAGACGCTTAAATTTGTTTCAATTTATTATGGCAGAACGTAGTAAATTAAAAAGCGTGTTGGGGTTTTTTTTCTCACAACTTAATGTTCAATTAAATCTTACTTCAACAATCTTGTTGACAATTACATGAAGTGCCCTGTCTGGGCCGGTGGAGTCTTATGCAAATTTGAGTTAATTTAAACATGAGAAATGATTAGAAATGCGCTCAAGTGTGAGACTGCACTTAACTTTGCTTGTTTGAATGTTTGCCGTCTTACTCTTTTCGCATTTAATTTCTCCTGCAGCTCGTCTCGGCAGCAAAATGGAAGGGGCTCAAAAAAAAAAAAAAAAAAAACTGCGTTGGCAGATAATTGCCGCCCCAAAACATAACCCTGTCCGCAAAAAAAAAAAAAAAAAAAAGCCCAAATGTGTTGCCCGTGGTGACGCGTACATACCTGGAAGACCAGGCCCTTCTTTTCAGGACTCTGCAGGGAGAAGCGGCTCAGCCTCAGGTAGTAGGTGCCATACTGGGCCAGCTCGCCCAAAAGACGAGACACGCTTTCCGGAGAGGCTCCCGACACGCACACGCCGGGGCGCACGTCGAACTGTACACTCTTGGGAAGACCACCCACAAAAAAAAAACAAAAAAAAAAACACAGAAGCCTGTTTCAGACTAATAACAGTTCATAAACTGTCTGTATGAAAGCCATCACATTGCACAGCGAGTCACGTCCGTTGCGACTTGCGCTTTATTAATATATGAGAGCGACTCTTTGGTGTTTGTTGTCCTTCTTATGGATTTTTTATGAGAAGTTGCTGGCCAGCGTTCTTGTGGGAGGCACAATATGATGCAATGCAATTTTGCGCGACACAACAACCGCCCGAGCTTACGTGACGCCGTCGAGCTCGAGCGCGGCTGCCGACACGTTATCGCTCCACAAGACAAAAGACACTGTAAAAAGAAAATAACTCTTCTGGAGGTATATAAAATCTTTATGGGGTGGCAACAAAAATAAGCTCCCTGGTGATTGATTTTTTTTTTTTTCTTTTCTGGAACGAGTTGAATTTTTAATGGGATATTTTATACGCTTGTGCTTTCTGCTGTTCTTGGAGTAACTGTACAGTATCCATTCCAGACCCTAAAGATTTAAAAAAATGGAGAACTAAAGGGAATTTTACAAAATAAACAACTTTTAAATGTAAATCGCCATGCAAAAGGCAAAAAGCATCTTGGTGCATTAACAACACTGAGTAATTTAAAAACATTGAACCTACCGTATTTTCCGTGCCATAAGGCGCACCCTGTATTGTATTGTATTCCCTTTAGCGCAGCTCCATCTAGTGAATGCATAATGCAACCGCAACCACTAGTGTAGCTTCTATTCTATGCGCCTTATAATGCTGTGCGCCCCATATATGAAAACAGTGTTAAAATTCATTGAAGGTGAGCCTTATATCCGAAACGCCTTATGGTGTGGATAATACCATACTTATTTTTCTGTATGAAAGAAAATTTCTTTCTTGAGTGCATTTTAAATATCACGAAATTGCAATACTGAACCCCCAATAAGTCCGGCGATGATGGACACGTCCACCGAAATTAATGTCAGGGTGCAAAACTGGTGTCTCATTCGTCACAAACAATTGCCTGATGCTGAATTTAATCAAACCTCATTCAAGACCATAACCTTCTTAATCGCCACGCTTAGCTGCTTAACAGATGGAGAGCGAGAGGGTTGTACCTGGTTGAGAGGAAAGGTGGTGGACGCCACGCCGATCAGCACGTTCAGGAGGTCGCCCACGAGCTCGCCCTGAGTGTCGACGGGCAACGGGAGGAGGGGGGAGGGCACGCTGCCGCTGACCACCCTCATTTCACCTTCCCACAGGCGGTACAGCTGGTCGAAGGCCTCTCTGCCGCTCTCGCTCAGGTACAAGGACTCTCTCCTGCCGGGCGGCCTATTGACACACAAACTGGGTCAATGATCGGATTGTATACCAGGTGTTTAAAAAAAAAAGACAAAGTTATCCTGTTGTTTTAAATACACAATGTGCAATTCTCTTGGTTGGATGTTTAGTTTGACAGTTAACTTTTAGAGTGACAATTAACCGCTTCAACCCTCTAGTTTAAAAAGTGTTCACTCTCTGCCAAACTGCCGCTTGATGTGAAGTTAGGCGAGTTCATTGCCACGCACGTCATTAAAAAAGAAAAAAAAGAACAGGAGAGCAAAATCTCGTCTTGATAATCTCGGAAGTCCGGCCCACATATCTCAAGGCACCGCTGTACTGGCTCTTCATCGTCCGTCAGATGGCGCCTGCGTGAAGTGGACTTAAAATATTCATCGATAATATTTTCATATCACATTTGGAGAGGCTGACATTTTTTGTCATGAGGACCTTGAGCGCCATTTGTTGTTTTATGCAACGCTGCCAACAAAATACTGGATGAAAATCAATGCCAATCACTCAACCAGCTCAGGGCCAAAGCCGTATAATGATCACATGTTGCCTTGAAGCGTTTGAGGATTTTTGTCGACTTATTCAAACATACTGGCCTTGAAAAGTCGTTTTCTTCAACCATATATTCATATTTGATTCGCATATTTCAGGTGAAATTACTTTTCAAAGCCTGACCTGGAAGAGAAACTGAATATATTTTTTAACAGCAGATTTGAGGAAGCGGTCAATTGTGGTCAGTCGAGGTTAACAAGGGTTAATAATGTTGTGCGTGGCAAACTGTCCTTCAAATGATGATCGGAACCTCCGCGAAGGTGTCAGGGACAGAAGCCTCACCAGCCGACAGACTCCCAGCAGCAACGCACGCCGGGCTCGAACGTCCGCAGAGCTTCCCACACATCCATCTCTGGACCGGGGCTGGCCTCCGACTGAGAGTCCGGCGTCAGGTTGGAGGCCGACTGGAAGCCTTCATCGTCAGACTGATCCAGACACGGCGGAACCTGCATCAAACACGCCGATCCTTTTGACTCCAAATATGCCACGCGGAAGATAATAAAATTTCATCAGAAACAATTATTCAAGTAATCATATCTTGGCGTTCTGTCATCTGCGGAGGAGGGAAACTATAGAAACAAGACTTATACCCTGATGGTCAGCCCAGTTACATCAACGTTGCTGGGCACAGGAGGAAGGTCCAGTCTGATGTCCAGGTCTGAGGTTCGAGTGTGCTGCAAGGCTCCAAACAAGGTCAACCTGGTCTCTTTCTCAAATCTCTCCTCCGTGTCCATTTTAGTCTTGAGAGCCATCAAGCCTGCACCTGGCTGAGCTTTCATCAACCTCCGAGTTCCGCATAAGTGCTCCACGGACGCCCACTCCTCCCCGCACACGAGCCCCCAGGCGCGGGCCTCCAGCCTCTGCAGCTCCGTGCTCTGGTAAGGCCAGGGTGCGGGTCTCCGCAGCACGGGCCGCTCCCGCCTCATGTAGTCCCGGCTGAAGCAGGGCGGCGGCGGGGGCGAGGAGCCGGCCAGGTGCACCAGGAGCTCAAGGACGGAATCCAGCTCGCTCAGGCCAGAGGCGGCCCCCTCCGGAAGCGTCTCCAGCAGCTCCTCCAGCCTCTCTGCCTCCTCCCGGCAACCCGCTACTCTCAGGTCAAAGCATATCATCAAGACTCTGTTCCTCGGAGGTGAGCTGGGCCCAGAGGTGGCGGGCGCTTTGACGCCATCCTGGAAAAGCTTTGACAGCAAGGTGCCATAGGCTCGCTTCTTCAGAGCTTTGTGGAAGGCTTCTCTTGAGACGCCTCCAAGGGCCCGACGCTTCCACGACACCCCGGCCAGGCTGCTGTCACACAGGGCGGTCAGCAGCTCTGTGATGCTGGAGCTGGTGCTGCAGCCGGACTTGACCCTGGGATGTTGAGGGCTCAGGTACATGGTGGCACTTAGTCCTCCAGCCTGGATGACAGGAAAGATGATGACAGACTAAATTGTTAAACACTCTATGTCAAGTGCCTTGAGCTCGGGCTGGGCCATAAGGGGAAAAAAATAATCCTCATAATTGTTTTGACTGATCTTGAAATTATAATGAATAAACATGCGCGTTCATTCAACAGTCTAAAACACAGGTGTCAAACTCCGGTTCTCGTTATCCTGCATGTTTTCCATCCCTCCCTGATGCAACACACCTGATTGAAATGACCAGGATCGTTATAAGGATCCTGAAGAGCTTGCTGATGCGCTGTCCATATATGGCTACAAGCGAGCTGAAGGTATCGTTAGCTCAACTTGCCGATATCGAAAGGTTAGGTTAGCAACATATAATAGTGCTTTCCGAGTGATTCGGACGATGTAATATAATTTGGTTACCTTCAAGTAATAGGCTGTTGTCGGCTCATTCTGCAGGCAGACTCGATAGTCTTCCTGCATGCTAGCACATGCTAACGGTTGTTGTTAGCATCACTCGTTAATCCATTTACGATCCTGCGGTTGAATTCACGAGCGTCCCGTTCCAAACGCAGTAGTTTAAAAAACCCCAAACTATCTTCAGTTACTTTGCTTTCTTGCTGTTGAGTGTAAAAAGAAAATTCTGCTTGTGTGTGTGGCTAACGGCTAGCCTGTCATTCATTTCCCATTGCAGCAAGGAGGCAAAGGGAACATCCTTAAAGGTGATTGGCCAACAAAAAGACATGCCGGCATTTATTGGCTGATTCTTCCTATAATCCACACTGATTGGTCAGATTGGTCAGTCGTACACCGCGCTTTGGTGATGGTGCGTTCAAGTGACGACACAAAAATAGCAAACTTCTAAATTCATTTGAAATAGTATTTAAAAAACAAATTATGACGTCATGCGAATTCAGAGTGGGGTTTTTTTTTCTACGTAATGTCTAAGGCCCTGTACATTTGGGGTTCAAGAGCGATATTAGATTAAAAAAAAATTGGGACAGGTCATTCAGAAGTGAGGTTACAAGATTAAAATGTGGATGTACAATTTTAATGCTGAAATAATAACATGTAACGAACAGTTTTAATTATTTCTAATAGTCATAATAATAAACAGTAATAATTATAATAAACACTGGTTAAATACACATATACAGTATACTTTGTCTATATTTTACAGTTTTCTAATTCTATTTTCGAGTATTCATGTAACCAATTTGGGTATTGAATTAGGATGACCGATTTTTTAAAAAAGTTTTTTTATTTTTTTATGTTTAAGGCCATTCGTGATTCTATTAAGAATTCAAATGTAATGATTTCAGAGAGTTTCTTACTGCAATACAGTACATCTTTATTGATATGCACAACAGTTTTACAGCTCTTCAATGTGAGGCATCACACACGTTCAAAATCTTGAAAAAAGAAACCTTAAACCTTAGTACATAATATGCAGTATAAGAGAGACTCAAGTCACGTATTGAAAAAGGATGACTCATGAAATAAAATCCACTTAATTTGATCAAAAAGCCAGCTTCAGAACATGCATTTATATATTATTCATCAAAACAAGATCACGTTGCCTCGCTCTTCCCCAAAGGTAGCCCCAAAAATCTGAGAAATGTCTAATTAGAATGTTTTGAAGCAGGTGGAGGTGAAAGCTGGTAAACAAGCATCCCGTGCAGACGGAGAGGCTGGATGCTGATGGAGAAGCGTCGCAGGAAGGAGGCCGCCTGTAATTGTCCTGATTTGCCCTGTAAAACTTGGAAAGTGACTGGAATTATGTGGCCCGTGTCCAGGTCACTGGGTCTTAAACTGCACATTTGAAAGTGGACGGGCAAATTGGTGCTGTTGTTAAATCCAGTTTCTTTCATCTTCGGCAGCTGATTGAATGTCATTGTCTTTGCCTTACCGTGGTAATGTGGAAATATATATATATATATATATATATATATATATATATATATATCATCCGATTTTTGGCGATTTTGAAATAGCTGATAGTGATTAATCGGCAGAGTCTTCATTACAAGTTTTGCTCCGACCAACCAATGAGAGGAATTACTTCCACTTCAAGTGTGCCGATGCAACAGCCATGGCCCGCAGCCACTCGTGCTTGTTAGGCAGTCAATACGAGGCAATTTTGGCCCCTCATCTTTCTTTATTCCCATTTCATGCTTAGCTGTCAGCGCCTAATTAATGTTTTCGCAGTCATTCGTCAACCTTCACCACGGAGGACAGGGACGCCGGGGCGGTTATTTATATTCTTGACTCATTTTGCAAAGCTTTGTTTTATTCGACCGCCTCATGCGCTTTATGAAGACTGACAATATTATTGGAGGTAGCTGTGCTCAAAATATGAGAAGAATACAAGTGGGAGGCAAATAAACATGTCAAGTTTTAGCACGTGGCCTTGTAAAATGGAACAAGCGGGGATTCTCAAATGGTGATATGCGCCCCTCTGGGGATGCGAGGGGCCTCCTGCAGTGTGTGGGAGAGTCTCCATAATCAGGAAAGTCGTTTTTTTTTTTTGGGGTTATTTTTCATCTGTCTGGTTGGTGATGCCAGAGTTGTACAAACCCCAATTCAATTGAATTTGGAATGTTCTGTAAAAAAAATAAAAGCAGAATAGAAAAATGAGCAGATTGACCTCTTAATTGTCTTTACTATTACGGCCGAAAATTTAAAATAGTCAACGTTTTGAAAATACTTCAATCTTGGCTGTATCAACCTGGGAGACATTTTCACACATAAAACCAAGACAGCAAAAAAAAAAAAAAAGCGAAATTAGATTTTTATTTTTTTGCATGGGTATTTCCCATTATTAATCAATTACTCGAACATGAATCATCTAGATTTATACCAGTATACACATGTAAATACATGTGTAGACAGCTATAAAGAAATACATATATGAATAAATAAATATGTACCGTGCTACAATTACTGGAAATCCACATCTATCATTGGATTCGGACATAAAAAAAGTAAAACGTTTTTTCTTTATTTTCCTAGATTCATCTCGCGGGCCACTGAGATGGCCGGCATGGGCCTCAAACGGCCCGCGAGATGCCAGTTGCACATCTTTGTATATATGATAGGGGTTCTGCTCCAATCATAGGGTCACTCTTTCGAACGGAATCAAATTATCCTCAAGTTAACTTATTATTTCTGCACATCCAGGTTGTGTGCGCTGGCTGTCGCGCGAAGGCGAGGCGCCGGAATGAGCTGTATAAATACCAGTACACTTCAAAAAGAAATTGGCTGTGTGGCGAATACGAGCCGGCAGCCCAAGGTGATTGTAAATCATGCAATAGCATGGGCGGAGAGACTTCCAATTGAAGCCAATCACTATTGGAAAAGTGAAAAGAAACACAGGGCGATATGAAGGGCATATTGGCCTCCAAGTTTATTCACACAGGAGTGCGTGATGAAATCTGGCTGTAAGAGCTCCATCCACACACACACACACACACACACACACACACACACACACACACGCACATACGCGCGCACGCACACACGATGCTGCACTGGTTCAATTAAATTAACACGAGCAGATCAGATACAAAACCCGAAGCAGCTGAGACTGCAGCACTTCATTCACAATACGAACACATTCAATTGGATAAAAAAAAAAAAAAAAAAAAGGACCCAAACAACAGCTTTTTTTTTCATGTCTTTTTTTTTTCTTCCAGGACTCAATGCATAGGAGTATACAGTCAGAATACAGTATTTCAACATGTTTTACAAAGATTGATACAGTATAGGAAACGAGAAATCATAAAAATAATAACTGCACAGCAGTAAGAAAGATCATTTATCGAGTATAGGTATAAGTCATTGATCGCACACACTGTGGAGTAGCCGAGAAAACACAAGGTGGAAAATAAACACCACTGCAACAATTTTGCGCTCTACTCAGAAGTCTACAGAAGAAAACCCGCCCCTTGTACCCCTACTTGTTTTCAGTTATTTAGCCTTGTTATAAACCTTTGAACGAGAAAAAATTCAAATTTGGCTTTTTGGGCCTACAAAGCTCACACCACAGACACCCAAAAAAAACACACACACATATCAACACTGTGACTGTCCCAAAAAAAAAAAAAATAATAATTCACGATGAAATGTATTCAGCCTATTGGCAGTCGGGGTGGGAAGCAGTATCAATACCAGCATTCAATGGCGATACAGTTGCTGTCCGATATCAGTTGGGTATATACAGTCTTACATAGATACGATTATGTAACCGAAGATGTTTTTCTTTCAAGATCACAGTGATTCTCAAAGTATGGGCACGCGGGCTCCTGGTAGTACGCCAAAGAATCACAAACACTTTCAGTACGTAACGTTTAATTGTGGAACAACTTTCTACCACTTTTATCAGACCGATCCCGCTAGTACTTTCGATTTTTACAATTCTGACAAAACATTGCGAACAAAGACCTTTCTTTCTGACGCAGAGGATGATTCATCGATGTGTCAAACTGCTGCAATGTAGCGCCAACCAGAGGTGGGCATTCGTCAGTGCGGTAGTCCGTCAATGAACTTTCATCAATGTATCACGCCCACCCACTCGGTCCGAGTCAGCCAAATCGCGTCGAGAACGGACTGACGGGTAGCACGTTACACGAATGTGCTGCACGCCTAAAACGTAGCCAAATATTGTAAAAAAAAATTACTGCATTGTATTGTAAATAATAAAACAGCGTTGTATACCTTTTGGTCCCACAGACTGCAATGACGTGTCACATATCGTTTTTATTTCACCTATCACCACGCTGTGTGTGTCTGTTGTTTGTATTGATTGATTTTTCTTGATTTGTCGGCGCCGTCTTCTTGTGCGACGCTTGCATGTGACGTAGAAATTATGTTCTTGACGCCGATTGGCTGTGGCTGATAAGGGACGGACTGGACCCATGTGGGTCGGCCTGAAATGTTGACAGGAACTGAGTGACGATGCCCGCTTCTGGCGCCGACTACTGCCGCCAAAGACTTATTCAATGTTGGATTATTAAATTTTGGGGGGGGGGGCTTAAGTATCGGTGGCTGGTATCGGCAGCCTCCACGAGTACCCAACAACTTAAAATAAGGCCTGTATTGACCCGATGCCGACACCCGGTATCGATACTTGCCCATTCCTAATCTTTATTGAACTTTTTTGTGCAATATATATTCATGGATTAATTATTTAAGTGCAGTGTTTATTGAATTTGTATTTTCCTACATTTTAGCACAGCATTAATGTTCACACTGTGCATAATGTGACACTAGCTTACAAAAATACGAAACACGCTTCAAAAGGCATAACCCTCGGTCTCGTTTTTCGATGCACGTTTAGGTCTCAAATGCTACTTGGTCAAGATGGAGTTGCTACGAGGTGGAAAACATTTGAGAACCACTGCATGATAGGAATTATTGCTGTATCGCGATGCTTTTGGTAAAATATCGCAATTCCCACCCCTAATTGGCACACACACACACACACAGACTGCTGCAGCAGGGCATCTATAGCATTTTAGACAGCACACACGATATCACAAGTCCAAATACATTGCTGTGTCTAGAGCACTATCGCCATCATAGGTTACCTAGAGAATAATTTAGAAACATTATATGTATCATCCTGTTCAATAAGGCACATTTTTGGTCAAAGAAAGGCTCTGTAAGAAGCTTCTTGCATCGACTCTGCCAGTGAGAGGAGTCAACAGAGACGCCCGCCCAATCCCATGGCTGATGCCATTAGACTGAAAGTCTAGGGGGGGTTGGAGGGTGGGTGGATTCGATGGTTGGGCAGGGCCAAGTGCTGTTGTTCTGGATGTCAGGGCGTGCTGCGACAGCAAGGCGGGCTTAGGTAGTCTTGAGGTCCGTGCACGCCCTCCCCTCGCAACGACAGGGTTTAACATTCTAGGGGGTCAGGTTCCAACATGACCATACACGCGAGATACACGCACAACCGTGGTCGGGTGCAAAGAACAACCATGCTGCTGTACGCACAAATCCATTGCCAGGTACAACCACGGTAAGGTGTACACAAAACTGTGGTGGGCGGGTACGTATACAGGAGCGGTGAGGTACACGTACTGCCATTGTCAGGTCCAACCATGGGCCGAGGAACGCACACGTGATCGTGATAGGGTGCACGCAAAACCATGGTTGGGCGGAGACGTAACCGTTTGGAAGCACACACACATTCATCGTCAGGTACACACAAAAGCAAGATGGGAGTAAATATACAACCATAATGGGGAGCACATACATCCAATGTCTGGTACACACACAACCATGGGTAACAACCAAGGTCAGGTATACACAAGCAGGCGCACGCATAGCCATGATGAGGTCTACACACAACCATAGACAGGAGCACCCACGTCTGTGGTGAGGTACACATTTTCGTTGGCAGGTATACACACAGCCATGGTCAAATGGTCAAGTGCATATACAGCAAAGATCCGGTACACACACAACCAAGGCCATACCTTTTTAAGGTTTAGACATAACCATGATCGGGTACACACACAAAAAAAGTCTATGTGTCGTGTATGAATGTATTCCCGTATTCCTGTTTTTTTTTTAGACACACACAAAAAGTCTATGTGTTGTGTATGAATGTATTCCCGTATTCCTGTTTTTTTTTTTCTTCCAAATCTGGACTGTGCTCCATTTATAGGAGCTCAGTCTGGGGTTGTTTTTTTTTTCCCCCCTCGCTCAAAAGGCAACCCAGCGGACTCCCGTTTCGTATCCGTACACTGTTTTTCTTGGATTGGTTGTGTCTGTTCCATTTCGTTGCACCCTTTGGTACAATGACAATAAAGATATGCTGATTCCAAAAACCGTGGTCAGGTACAAGCAGGGTATGAAGCCCACACACACACAGGATGAGGTGCATACACAAACGGGGGGCAGAGACACACTCACATG